TCACACACTCATATACACGTACACATCCTTGTAACCACCACCGAGATAAAATGAAGAACTCCCTTATTTTGTTACTACCGTTTGAATGATACAATATTAAAGCAGGATGTTTTAACCTTCTTATGCATGTTTATGTTTATTTCACAAAATAGTAATTCCCTGTAGCCTAAGCTGTTTTTAACTATTTTTAAAATGTTGAGAATGCTAACAGAAAAACTGTATTCCATTAGCATGGCTAATATGAGGCTTAACTAATGTAGTTAATATACGTTAAGCAACATGTTAACATATCTTTAGGTTTGGACTTTGGTCAGTTCAATATGGTAAGTTATATATATATAACTTCAGTAATGTAAGTTATCTTCTTACGTTATCAGAATCAGAAGCATTAATTAGCAATCAGAGGTGTAAAATAAAAATGAAAAGCAAAGTTATTGAATAAATGCAGTTTGTTCTGTAGACAGAACTTCAAAAAACGGGATCACTGGCAGGAAAAAATGATGAGATTGGAACCATTGTCATAGAACCAGAGAATTTTAGATTTGGAATCTCCTGTAGAGATACTAATAATTTCGGCATCCCCCTCACTGAGTCATTGAGGTGAAGCATGAAAGTAGTTAGAATCTTTCCTCAGAGCATATAGATAGCGAGGGTTTGCTTTTCATATTAGGCACCAATATTAATAAGTCACCTATAATTTCTGATTGAAACATTTTATATCAGATTAAAAATGAGTTTTTCAGGTTCCCATAGGATGACATAACCAATATGCGGTTATGTTTGGGCACCATTGCCATATTATCTTAGGGCAGTGTTTGCATGTTTCAGTGTCATATGCCCCTATTTTAGAAAAATAAGTGAAAAACTGTTAAGTGAAGGTACTGCTACCAGAGATGAGAAGTATAGCTCATCTGGGTACTATAATTGAGACAATGATAGAAATCACCAACCATGGTAAGTGTGGAGTGCCGTCAGCTTCAGCGGTATATTTGGGGCACGCCATAGACTGTATTCAACTACAAAGAAAGAGTACAAAATTATAGAGATAAAACGTTGGAAACATTTCATCAAAATTATGTCTTAACATTAATTCAAGATGTAAGTAGGGATTTTAAATATTTTTAGCTCTTTGGGCAAATTGATGTTCCACTTTCATTTATTGGATTTTTGCACGTTTTCTGGAAGTCTTCATGTATAAAAGTAGGACACTGTGTGTATCAGTTGGAGAAATTCTTCTGTGTTACTATAGTAAATACATCTTAAAATTGTTTTTCTCCAATTTGCAAGTTCCCAATTGGTATGACTTTGAAATCATGCTATCTTAAATATATTTATTTCTATTTTAAAAATTCTCCATTCATTATTTAGGTATAATACAAAGTTAAGTAATTCCTCCAGATTATAAATACCCTATGACTTTTGGAATATGGGACATAATGGACCATATGACAGACCATTTCTCCTGATTGTTCCCACAACTTACGTGGCAAGCGTTCTCCTAACAGAACCATACTCTCCTGCAGCCTCAGCCACATGCACAGCCGAGGAAGGGCCTCCCACTGCCCCTTTCATCCCTAGGTGGATGGACCCACAGGCTCTGTCCCTGGCAGTTAGTAAAATACCAGCCAAAGTGCCTATGGCATTGTTACAGATAGGCAATTTCACAAATCCAAGAGAAAATTCTATCAAGACAGTGTTGTAATCATGGCAAGAAAAGCCTATTTTGGGGTCACATAAAGAGGAGGGAATGTCAGTGTCCCCTCTTCCTAGTAGTGGGACATCCCAGAGAAACATTTAATAAGACCCAAAGAAGAGATTTCATGCCAGCCTGCCTTCATATTTCAAGAACTTCAATAAAAGTATTGTACATGAACAAAGATGACAAAACTGGGTGTGAAGCACAGGACTGCATCTCTAATAAACAGTAAGCGAGATTCTCTGTGGAAATCTGAGTTTAAAAAGCCAATCAGAAGGGTTAGGAAATAACTCTATTTTGTCCAAGTGAAATCTAGAAATGGCTGGCAAAAAAACAATGAACAAAACAAAAATTGTTAGGAGCAATTTATTTCCTTGATGATAAACGTGAATGTTTGGGGGGGCGGGATGGGAGAGACATGCCCGTATCTACTGAATGACTCAATTTCATAATACTTAATCATCTGGAAACTTAACCATTATGTCACATACCAGGGAAAGTTGTGAATATAACAGAAAAAATAACTGCTGGACACTGTTGGTTTTTTTTTCCTTCAAATTCTTCAATCTATGCCAATGATAAGAGAAATATTAGTATTTTTAAGTAGTCTAATTCTGTTTTCAGAATCACTGTTAGCTTTTGGTACACTCAGCTTGTCATAGAGTACCTTTCCATTGGTTGTTGTTTTTAATCCAATACCAGCTCCAAAAAGTTTTGAAAGACAGATTTTGTTAATGTTTCAGGTGATTTTTTTTCTTTTAGTCTATTTCTATTACAAAGAAACCAAATGGAATTAAAAGAAACAAGTGAACCATATATTGCTAACAGTAGCAAGNCGGCTTCTGGACGGCCACTCACGCTGGTTGCTGGCTACACACGGCAGCTTATGGCAGCCCACTGCAACAGGGGCTGCAGCCTACGCCATCGCCGGCGACTCACAGCAGCCCAGCTCCAGGTTCAGCTGTTGTTCAGCATCTTAGCTGTGGAGGGCAGTGTCACTGGCCCTCATATGTGGGATCCGAACTGGGGTCCTCTGGGTCCCAAGCCAGTTCTTATTGCGCCACTCGGCCGGCCCAGGGTGACTGGTTTTTTTATACTCACTTGTAGGAATTATTTATATATTCAGCTTTCTGACAATTAAACTTTTTAATGGCTTTTTATGAATTGAATTAATAAAGTTATATTAAAATATAAGCCAAGAATTCCAGAAACTAATAGCCTTTCCCAGAAAGGAAACCCTTACCTATTTTGTATAATGACTCTTATGTATTCCATTGTAGCCATTGCCCAGTGTCACGTGTTTGAAGGGTCCCATTTTTGAAGTAGCAATAACTGAATTTTATCATTTCCAGCAACAATAACACAATGTCAGTTTTTCTTATTTTTTTCAGATGACAATTTATGAAGACTCAGTTGCAGCTCATATTACAAAAATCCTCAATTCTGATGAACACGCAGTGGTCATATCATCGGCCAAGTGAGTTACGGAGCTGCAGTCACAAAATAGTTGTATGGGGAAAATGAGGGGAAAGCTCATTCTTACTATTTGTATCACATCTTTGTGAATTTTTTCCCCCAAAATATTTGTGAAGTAGCTTACTGGATTAGATATACTAAATTTGCATTGATGTTTTAAAAATTATTTTAGCATCCTATTTGCAGTGGAGTATATTTAGAAGGTATTTTTTAAATGCTTAATTTGAAAGATTTTTGTCGAAAAGGTGCAATAAGTATTTAGAGTTTAATTACCCTAAGTTCCTGTTTAAAGACGTCTTTATGATTAACTATAGTATGGAAAATATATTTCATTATAATTCATTACTTCCATAAACACACTAATTAGGAATTGTTTACATTAGGAAAAGAAAATGATGAGATTTTTCAAAAGGACGTTTCTCAGCATGTTTAAATTACATAATTATATTTTAATTCAAAGTTAACAGATTTTAGTTAGGTTGATTCTGTACATGGAGCTGAACTTACTTGATTTCAGTATCCCAAGTGTTGCCTGGCTGGAATTGAGGTTTAAGGCATCTTGTACTGATGTCACAGGAAATGGAAGGTCAGCTAGACGAAGCAATGGCACCAACTGAACTGATAAGCAAAAGTCAAAGACTGCTTTAGGATTCTGGCTTAGCAAGGGAATAGTATTGCTGTTACGGAGAAAGGGAAGAAGGAAAGAAAGGGAGCGAGGAGAGGAAACAATACTCAGACTTTAGTGTATTATGTATTTACGTGGCAAAGAAGCCAGGGAAAAAAAAATTTGCCTGTGACAGAAGTACGAACATGGAGACAGTTGTTTTGATGCGCTCACCCCCAGGAAGAGGAAACAGGACGGAACAACAGGAAAAGAGCTGAATGACTGAAGGCGAGGGAAGCACGGGGTTGCCGAGACAGGAGGGCCGCAGACGCTCTTGGTCTGATGGGCGGTGCTGCTGGTGGTGTTTTGGTGGTTGTTTGGTTGGGTGTTGTTGAATGAATTGTATGGCTTTATGGCGAAATGTGTGAATCTCCGTTTTGTCCCAGGCCTGAGGCCTCCCTCTGGCCTTCCTCATCTTGGGCAACATTCATATTCCTAAGTGACTTCTAAAGGAAGACACTTGTATTTACCACCCTTTCTCTGGGAATCAAATGCTGCTTCATAGAACATTTTAGAGGACGTGGCTAGAAAAAGGGGCAAGTTGAAATGGAACCTTTGAAAGCTAAGGTGTATCGAATTATAAAAGAATTATTCTTTAATACAGTTAAGTCAGTATTTTATCTGGTTACCTTTCATAGTTTGGATGTTAGCAGAGCCTTGATATTGGCCTTCATGGGTTTAATATGTTTTGATTAATGCCTCCTACACATTTTATGTATTTTTTTTAATTTTTACTTTTTAAATTGAGATATAATTGACATACAACATTGTATTCGATTTAAGTCTGCAACATAGGAATGTGATAAATGTATACAATGAGAGATGATTAGTACAACAAGTTCAGGAAACGTCCGCCACCTCACATAGTTACATTATTTTCTTGTGATGAGAACTTTTAAGATCTTACAAATTTTAATAAAATCGAATTAATGTGATGAAATTTAGACAGGTACAAACAGGATCATTATAGTAGTCACTGCTTTCCCTATCTTTCTAAATCTTTTTTTTTTTCTTAAGATTTTTTATTGGGGAATTGGGGAAGGGGAACAGACAAGTTGTTGTCCTTCAATCTTAGTTGTGGAGGGCACAGCTAGCTCAGCTCCTAGTCCAGTCGCCATCCAGCCGCACGTTGGCAGCTTGCGGCTGCTCAGCTCAAGGTGCCGTGTTCAATCTTAGTTGTGGGTGAGCATAGCCCACCATCCCATGCGGGAGGAGAACCTGCAACCTTGTTGTTAGGAGCATGTGATCTCACCAGCTGAGCCATCCTGCCACCTGTTGGCAGCTCAGCAGCAGCTCAACTTGGGCGCAGCTCACTGGCCCATGTGGGCATCGAACTGGCAACCCTGTTGATCCAAGCTCACGCTCTTAACCAACTGAGCCACTCTACTGGCCCTCTTTCTTAATCTTAATACCTGTGAAGTACAGCACTTTTAGCAGTGGAAATCTTTTTTCAAGCGAAATATTATGCAGAATACCAGTATTAAATAACTTTAAATTCTATTTTGTTGGCATTGATAAATTGGATATGATTAAATTATGAGTCATCTATGAGAAAAATAAGCAATAAGGTTATAGATGACAGTTATAGTTTTATATTCAATGCTATTTACAATTCTCTATTTTATTTTGGTTACATGGTTATAAGGAAATTGCCTTCAATTAAATAAAAATAGTATAAGATGCCTTAGTCCAAGGTTTTCACAAAAAGTCATGAATTCCAAAGTAAAAGTTAGCATATTTGTGTCTAACATCTCTCGTGGTTATTTGAACATTTAAAAAATTGCATCATATATTTCTAAATGAAAGCTGAAGCAAATATTTGTGAAAGCTTTCAAGTATTTCAGCAAAACAGCCCAAAAGGCAGTGGAGTAAGTCATAGTCCTGCCTAAGGGGCAGTAAACCCCAGTCCTAGTTGAGACTCACCCAGTTGCCAGCTTTGTGACCTTGTCTGTTTGATCAGGTTTAACAATGAAAAGAATGCCTACCCTTTCTCCCTCACGAAGCTGAGAGAACTAAGTTGAGTAATAAATAGACCTTATAAACTAGAGTGCTGGATTAAATCATTGACTCATCACCTCATGTTCTCCCCAGTCACATTGCAAATTTTTCTTTGACCTTGGCCTGGCTTCTTGTCGAGGCTGTGCTCTCAGCGTTAGCTTTGCATTTCTTCCCAACTGGCTCATTTGCCTTTAAGCAGGTAAGGCGCCCCCTCCCCCATCACTCATCTGCACTCCTAGGCCCTGTCTTTACAACCCCAAAATAAAATTCTAAGGGATTTGCCATAAAGAGGTTCACGACAGAAAAGAGAGGACAGACGTAATAACTTGGTACCAGTAATACAGTGAACTTTTATTTTAATTTTTTTGTGGACAGTTTCAAATATACAGAAAAGTAGGAAGACTGGTATAATGATTTCCCATTATACTTGTCACCCAGCTTCAGTGTTTTGTCAACATTTTGCCTCATACTCCCCCGCTTTCTTTTGCTGCAGTATCCTAAGCATATCTCAGAAATTGTTTCATTCCACTTTCAGTAAATGTATCTAATCTTTTTTAAAAATATAATAAAGTTAATAATAATTCTATATTACTCAGTCCATTTCCCCAGTTAGCTCAAAGGTTTTTATTTGTTTTTTAAACAATTAATTCGTTCAAATTGAAATCCAAACATGGTGCACGTATTGTATTTGAGTGATA